CACATAGTTTTTTGTAGTTCACGGGATTTGCAGCTGGGTAGCACTGTTCATTACTTCTTTACCACAGTACTATACATAGCAACTTCTACCACTATGAAAGCTAACCATTTAGGGATTAAGCTTCTAGGTCACTATCAGCTGGATTTCTCTATGTTCCTTGTCTCAATACATGTTAGCTTCAGCAATAGGTTTTTACCATCAAGGATTCTGCAGGATAAGCAAGAGCAATGACGATCACCTGTACTGTTTGAGGAGGTTTACAGGACCCTACTGACCAACAACTAAAAACGAGGTAACCTGAACCTAGCACTGTAGCTTGGTAGTTACAGAATCTAGCAGAGCCATTATGTCCCTTGCCGGATAACTTTATTTAAAATTTTGTTATATGTGAGTATGGACATATTTTAGAAAACTTCTAAGAGTTTTCATGTGGCTTTTTCAAAGGTCTTCAGTGCTAGTTATCCTGTAGTCCTATGTTAATGGGCAGGAGAGCCTCATGAATGTTAACGTTAGGTACTGGGACCTTGGGTTCTTGCAACATTGAGATAGAACCCAGGGCTTTGTGTCTACTAAGCAAGCACTCTACCTCTGAGATACTTTCCCAGCCACCAGACCATACCTGTTGCTATGTGTGTTCATCAGAGCAAACCCTGGGCCTTATATATGCAAGAAACATGTTGTTATACTTGGGAGTTCTAGAAATTCTCAATGTGTATCTAGATTGGAGGCAGCAGTGTCATTTCTTACTTTCTAATCTATCTGCCTCCAAAATTTTACTTGCGTATTGCCTAAATAACTTGAAGCTAACACTTTGAATGTGATGTTAAATGTGAATAATTTAAGACTACTCTCTAAATAGGTCATTTAAGATACTTTTGCCTTGTTCTCCAGGTTTACAAGAAAACATCTAGCATCTTCCCATGAGGATTGTTTACCAGGAGTTTTTAAAAACAACTATAATTTATTAGGTTAGAGAAGTAATCTGTTTGTATTTTATATGATTTTTATCATGCTGTTGAATGCCCCTTGTACATTCACTAATATAATTGTGTGTCTTCTCATTTAGTCTTCTACTAATATGGTGAATTATATTCATTGATTTTTGAATGCTTGACTAACCCTGAATTCCTAGGATAATGCTGTTGTTATGAGGTGTTACCTTTTTTTATATGCTGCTAGATTTGATTTCTTAGTATTGAGTTAGGGATTTTTGTGCCTATTTTCATAGATATTTTTCCTTTCACTTTTTTGTAATAATATATGTAAAACATAGGTAGATATTTGCCTTATTTAGGATTACTATTGCTGTGACAAAACACCATGACCAAAGCAACTTGGGGAGGGAAGAGTTTGCATTTCCACATCACTGTTCATCATTGAAGGAAGTCAGGACAGGAATTCAGACAGGACAGAAACCTGGAGGCAGGAGCTGATGCAGGGCCATAGAGGGATTCTGCTTACTGGCTTGCTCCCCATAAATTGCTTAGCCTGTTTGTTCCTGATAGTGAGGTTCTCATTCTAAATATATATTTTCTTCCCTGCATTGTTATTGCTAAAATTACCATCTATAGCCTGCAAAATGTGTTATCCACTGCCATAGTGTCTCACATAGTATTGCTTCTGGTCAAAGAACTCAGTTCACAGCAAAATAAACTTGATAAGGTCTCATGCTCATGAAACCCATGGGTTTTAGCATATTGCTACTATCCTGAATCAGATGAGTTGACAGAAGGCAGGGTTGCTTTTGAAGAATCTGTTCCAGCCCCAGTGAGACAATGGTACTCCACAGGACTGGGCAAGTTTCTCCAGAAAGCTTCATCTGCTTTTAGAATGGTTGTGATATGTGTTTCCCAGTGATCTATGTGATCGAGGTATGGTTTCCCAGGGTAATTTTGGAAGATGGTGGAAACTTCTAGAGGTAAGGCCTACTGGCAGGTTTGTAGGTCATTTGAGTGATATCCTTAAAGGGCTCTAAGACGTTAGCCTCCTCCTCATTCTCTTTTGCTTCCTGGCCAAGAGCAGTTTTCCTCCTGCCATGGTGTACTGTGTTGCCACAGGCCCAAATAAATGAGGTCACCTGATTTTGGACTGGAACTTCCAAGATAATGAGCAAAATATATCATTTCTCTTTATAAGTTATACCTCAGTTATTTCCTTATAGTAATGAAAAGCTACTTGATATATCCCTGACGTACATGGTGCCATTTCAAGAATTCATGGATCTACAAATCAAGACAAGGAAACAGAAATGGTACCATTCACTATTAAACCTAATAATCTACTAAAAATAATGTCTGCTTCCTCCTCCTGTGACTTTCGGTCCTTCTGGTACAGAGGTCTTAATTCAAAAGAAAAGTGTTGACTTGCCAGCCATGCCAGTTTCAGCCAGTCATGCTGGGAATCATCGCCCCTCTAAGTCAATAGGCAGAAAGCAGAATGACTGTATTGAAAGGGAACTGCGCCCTGCTACCAAACAGAAGTTGGACTCCTACACAATATAGACAAGGAAAAAATACCTTCCATAGAGGAAAGTCCTTGTGTCTTCTGTTATTAATATCAAGCCATATGATTATGATCAGTGGAAACTATCTCATTACAAGTGGGATTACTAATGGCCCAGACCACTTAAGACTGAAGTTCTGGGTCCCCTCACTAGGTGAAGAACCAAATCAGCTGAATTACTTGCTGAAGAGATACAGACTAAGTAGTTAGTACTTACTCAGTTAAATTAGTAGTTAGAAAAAGCCAGTTGTGACCTTGTGACCAGTGTTAGACTATTACTGTCATAAATATCTCCATAAACTCATATTGCTGTTTATGCATGTTTTTTCTCTCTCTTTTTCTTTCTTTCTTTTTTTTTTTTTTTTTTTTTGTGTTTTCAAGACAGGGTTTCTCTGTGTAGCCCTCCTGTCCTGGAACTCACTCTGTAGACCAGGCTGGCCTCGAACTCAGAAATCCACCTGCCTCTGCCTCCCAAGTGCTGGGATTAAAGGCGTGCGCCACCACTGCCCAGCTTATGCGTATGTTTATATACAAAATATATTTATGCATAGTTCTATACAAACACTTGTTTTTCTCCTTATTCATATAACATACGTGTGACTTTTATATCACAGCATTAAAGCATCATTAAACATTTTTTAAACTTTTTATTGGTTCTTAGTGAATTTTACATCATGTACCCCAATCCCTCTAATCTCCCCCTCCCCTCATACCCACCCTCCACCCTTGCAGCCTCCCCCTACAACAAAGAAAAAAATGTCATTGTGGAAATTAGAGTGTGTCCCAATGTACCCCACAGTATACCCTTTTGCCCACATTTTTTTTATGCTTAAAAGTGTTCATTGCAATGAGTCATTGGTCTAGTACAAGGCCTCTGGCTTTTGCTACTCTGTCGATACTGGAACCTCACTGCGACTCCTTTTAGGTATCCTGTTGTTGCCCTATGTCATGAAGATCTAGTAATTTTGGATCTGTAGGACTGGCCCCTTCATGCATTCTAGCAGTTCATTGGTAGGGTAGATATTGGGGTGGGCCAAATCAAAGCCCTGGATCTGGGCCTAAGAAGTATCTGAGCTGGTCAGCCTTCCATCTTTCCCACTCGTATGCCCTTGGGGACAGCTCATCAGTGTCCCCTGCTATGAGGGCTAGCTCTACCCTGCTGCTTAGATAAGGTGTAGGACCCAATCTCCCAAGCATTACAACCAGAGAGGGTCATGGCCAGTTCTCCCACTCTCGTGACCCAGTGACAGTTCCTCTGTATGCCATAAATGGCAAGGAGTGGGGAAGGAGAAGAGGCCATCTTTCACTTGTCCGTGCCACCTTCCAGAAGATAAGAGATAGGGTCAGCTCTCCTATACCCATGCCCTCTGGGCCAGCTCACCTGCAACCCCAACATCCAGGGTCAGCTCTACTGTGCTGCCTAGGTGAAGTGCAAGGCCTGCTCTCCCAGAGTGCTGTAGCAGGTGAGGGGCAGAGAGGACTCTCCTACTCTGATGACCTTAGGGCCAGCTCTCCTGCCTGTTGTAGGTGGCAGAGGGGAGGGGCATCTCTCCTTTGCCCATGTCATTACACTGCAGAGAAGTAGTGAGCCTAGTTCTCCCATACTCACATCCTCAGAGGCAGGCTTACCTGTACCCCACCCCCCACTCACCAGAGTCAGCTCTACTGTGCTGCCCAGATGAGATGTAGGGTGCATTTTCCAGAGTGCTGCAGCTGGTAAGGGACAGGGATAGCTTTCCTCCTCCTATGACCCCCTCCGACCTGCTGAAGATGGTGAGGGGTGAGGGAGGAAGAGGGTATCTCTCCCTTGTCCATGCTACCAAATGGAAAATGATTGGTAGAGCAAGGTTTGTCATGCTTATATCCTCGGGAGCCAGCTTATCCACAACTCTCACAATGTGGGGCCTGTCCTTTCTCATACTGCATCTGGCTAGGGGCAGGGTCAGCTCTACTGCTCTCATGACTCCAGGGCCAGCTCTCCTACAATGCCCAGGTGAGGGATCCGGCCAGTTCTGTATAGTCCTTAAACATCAATTTGTCTCCAGGCAGCAGTCGAGATCAGGTATGTCCACCTGGTCTTTGATGGTAACAGACCCCTGCTGCTGCAGGGCCATGGATCCAGACATGGCCCCTGGTGGTTGCACAGGCCAGGACCCCACCAAGTCTTAGTTGGTCCCATCACCAACTGCTCACATCAGCTGTTCCCCACTACCCTTCAGTCTCCAGTTCTGCCTCTCTTCATTGTGCCCACATCCCTCTGCTTCTCTTTTCTCTTCCATTTCTCAACAACTCACTTGCTCCTCTTAGTGACACCTGGAGTCTCTGGGGTCTCTGAGTGTCTGGGGTTGTCACCAGAGTTGTCTCAAGAGTGCTGTGCCCTATTCATGCCTTATGAGGCTGGAGAGATTATCTCAGGCATGGTTTGTGCCCCACTCCCACCCCCAACCCTCCCCCACCCCCAGGTCTGTGCTGGTCCTCTCAGGCTCCCTTTTTTCAGGAATGTTAGGCTACTAATCATTACGATGTTCACAGGTCGGAACACTGAGCACAGACATAGCCTCTCTCCTCTCTGCCACCTGTGACACACACCTGACACAGCACTCACACCTGCAATGCCTCTGGGGCAGGCCGTTAAACATTTTAAAAACGGTTTTATTTGCATTCTTCCAATTTCATAAATATATATAATGACTTTTGAGCATTTTCACCCCATGTTACCCCACCCCCACCCCCACTGAACCACTTTTTCCCAACTAGTCCTTCTTCTGCTTCCTTATCTATCTTTGAAAGCAGGGACTGGAGAAATGGCTCAGTAGTTAAGAGTGAGTGCTGTTCTTCCAGAGGGACCATTCTTACTCAAACCACCAGACAGTAATGGGTGTCTTCTCTTTTGCACGTTATTTTAGTAGAGATGGCCTAGTTTGTTGAACTTTTTGAAGAGCTACCTCTGTTGTACAGATTTTCCCAGATGACTTTCTACTTCTATTACCGCCTATATGCTCCCTCTGGGCTCTGTTGATTTTACCTTTTCTAAGTTCTTGTGGAGAATTGTAGATACTGATCTGAGATGTTTCTTCCTTCTAGATATCAGCATCTAGTATTGTAACATTACATTTTAGCATTGCTGTGTCTACCTATGTCCCACAAAAGTTGATTTGCTGTGGGGTTTTTTTTATTAAGTTAAATGATTTTATATTTTTCTTTGAGATTTTTCCCTCTGACATATAGTATACTTGAAAGTGTACTGTTTAGTCGCCATGAGTTTGGAAATTTTCCTTATGTCTTCTTTCCTTTTCTATGTATTATTACTTTCTAGTTGAATTCCACTGTGGTCAAGAAACAAAGCTTGCAATGGGTTACCATCATGTGTGCCAAGACCTCAGTAAGTTTTTTTTATGGGCACAGATGCATAAAGGGACATCTCTTCACTTATTGACAAAGTTTGAACATTTTTACAGATATCTACCTTGCCAACTCACCAAGTTAACATAATGATAATGGGCTTTTGGCAGAATAAAATTTGCAAAGCATACATAGAAAGAGTTGGAACTTTTAAAAACTATTTAAACAGTTTATTCTCCTGATATTGGTAATAATGCAAAGATTAAATGTGTAGCTTAGCAAATCATAGCAAATAATTCTGGATTCCACATGCAATAGTGGATGAGACAATGTGCCCATATGGCCCAGTTAAGGAGAAGACAGAGAACAAGGATAAATACACTCTATTTCAAGATGAGAGGAAGAACTTCAGAACTTCACAAGGTATTAATAAGATACCTGGAAAGCATGAAAAACCATATGGGCAATACACACAAAAGAAGCCTCGTCAAACACAGCTCCAGAGTACAGCTCCCTGGTAAAATATGGAGAAACAACAAACAAACAAACAAAATCTCCTCTAAAAAGGAAGCCAGGCAGCACTGATGGAAAGAGACTGGCAATCCTATCTTTATGACAAGTCTGCAGCCCTGACAGCCTTTAAGCTCAGTTGCAGGTTTTGGTGAGAGAGTGATTCCTCTGTTGTGTCAGCAGTGGAAAGGGATACCACAGCACTGAGCTGAATGATGAAGAGTGAAGGAACCAGGTGCTATCTTGAGAAAGAACATAGTGTTTGAAATGGAGTTAACTTGTGAGTCTGATAAGGGGAACAGGCACAATAGAGGAAGCCTGAATTTAACCTGCTGCAGTCCCAAGGAAAGAAAAAGCCCTGGGGTAGGAGACAGTTGTGGAGAGTGGTGGGGTGGATGATAGCAAGGGAAAAGCATAGATGGCTTAAAGCACAATGTGGACAATGAACTACCAGGGAAAGGGAACCTCGCCCTTGGTTGCTGAGAGATGATCTCATTGGATGAGATTAACCCTGGAGTTTAATAGCACTGTGACCAAATTAGGCATGTGGACCAACCTCTGGAGCCATCTATCTATCTGCCCCATCATTAATAGAGAGCCTGAAAACTCTAAAGCTGCAATGACACCCATGGATGCATTCTCTATCAAGGTGATTGAATTATTTAAGATGTCTCAGAGGTGGGAAGACAGGTCCATTGCCTATAGAGATCTGAATGCTGTGGTTGCTTCCTATACCCATAACACACTCAGGGAACACCCAAACTGGATCATTAGATATCTCAGGGGGTACAATCTGAGGAATCTAGATAGGATGAGAACCTGCTCAGCCTACAGACTACAAAGCTAAGTGAGGCCATCAGAAACCAGTGGTAGGCAGAGAAGGCAAAAGCTACTGAGAGAAGACCGTTCTGGCAGATCTCAGATGCTTTTAAAATTTGGGCTCACTACTAGCATAAAGCATAAGAAAAAAAAGAGCCCACACAGTTCAACTAGCCCTACCTCATGAGCGTAATCAGTCTACTAGCTCTAATAGCCATAGAGCCAGACAGAGCCTGCGCCAGCATCTTCCCTCTTTTCTTGCTCCTGTTCTTTTATTGTGTCATTACATTTTATAATATTTTCCAGGACCATAGTTAATACTATGTGTTTTTAATTCCTTTTTTTTTTACATTTATCTAATTTTATCACACGGGGTTTTTTTTTTCATCATAAGACCGACCATCTTTTTTCTTTGCTTTCTTTGATTTTTTTTCTTTTTTGACATTTGTGTTTACTCTTTTCTCCCTCTCTGCTATGATTTTAGTAGTGTTATTGGGGATTTTTGTTGTTATTGTTTCCTTTAAAATTCATGTTTTTATTTTGTGGTTTCCTTTTTATATTAATCAAATCTGAGGTTGGACTTACTATTGAGATTCTTATTATTGAGAATTTTTTCCTTTTTCCTTCTTTTTAAAAATGTTTTTGCTAATTACGTTCTCTTTTCTCTTCAGTCATATTTTTCTCCTGTCTCTTTCTCATGCCTCATTCACATCCCCCTCGCTTCCTCCATTTAATGCCCTCCCTGCCCCTTACCTCACTCACTTACCACTTCCACATTTATCCTGAGTAATCTGAGCAGTGCATTCTACATAGTTTTGCTACTTTCTTTATAATCATTGGGATTTATTGGTGGTGTTTAATCAATTTCACCTGTTTTATATATCTTGTATAATTTGATGATACTCTTAGAATTGTCTGTCTTCTTCTCACTGAGTGGGCCTGGAGAATGAGACCTCAAAGGAAAGATATTCAGTAAGAAAACATCCCACTCCCACCTCCCACAAAAAAATTAGAGACATAGCCAAATAAACAAATGTACAAATTATTAATAGGTATGAAAACCCAAGTCAGTGTAGCTCCTCCAAAGAACTGTAAGTCTTTAATCATTGAGTACAAAGATACTCAAAGAGATAAAGTGCCAGAAAACAATTTTTTAAATGTTAATAGTCAAAACGATCCAGGAGTTCAAAGAGGATACAAATAAACAAATGGATTCCCTCCAGAACTTGGAATGGGGGGTCAGAATCACAAAGAAAGAAATCATAAAAATGAATGAGAAAGTTGACATTTGGATGGAAACGTCACCAACATGGAAGAAAACTCAACAAGGAACTTGAGGTTTTGAAAAATAGAAAATCACCAAATAGAAAGGCTAGATATAAAAAAACTTAATGAAGCAATGCAAAGCACAGTGAAAATCACTACCAGACCTGATTGAGCAGAAGAAAGACTAGGAGCGAAGGAACCAAGGTGGAAGAAATACAACACTCAAACTGCAAAGGAAAAGAAATGGGCAATGACCATGTGCCCAGAGAAGTTTTGTTGCTTGACCTGATTTCTTCTTTAGCAACCCCAGGGTGCATTGCTGCTGTCCTGTTAGGTGTCCCATCTGTTGTGGCTTAATGGATTGGAACCTGACTCCAGTTTGCATTAAAGTCTTTGAGGTTAGGGCCTACCTTTAACCCACCTTTACTGTTTCCTAGCCGGACCTAGAACACCACTGTGAAGCCATCTTAAGCTTCTGATGCTTCTCCAGAATGCACAGGTCGCTTACTAGGGATTCTACTGCTTTACGATAGCCTCACAAAGCAAAAAGTCATCATCAGAAATGTTCTGCATTTTCAACAAATAAGGAAACACTAAAGTTATTCAATCAAGTTATTTATATTTATTCATCATATTTGTACCACAAATACATTAAAAACTCAAGTAAAACTTAAGGATCCTTAGAATACCAGGCAGTTGAGTGACAGATGAGCCTCTACATTTCCTGTTTTTATATATAGATTAGTAGTAAAATCTCACATTGCTTCGGGATGGAGATATAGTCTGAGGAGTGTCTGGATAGGTGATTCCATCATTAGAATGTACTTATGCAACCCTGAATGGGGTAGACCAATGATCAACATGGGCTCTTGATGCATTGAAAATATAGTGAATCAGCTCTTGGCTAATTCCATTTGAGTTTACAGAAAACTTCTTTTAGATATAGGCATTATTGCAAACTAATAAGAATAGTATAGCAAATACATATGAATAAGAATTGCTTGCTGTACCTAATTGTATTGCCTTTGTCTTATGTGGTTAGAAAGGCAGTAGGCTGCTTTCCATTAGCATCACTACGAACATGTGTGCTGTGCTGTGGTGTGCTAAGATGTCACTAAATACTAGGAATTTTCAGTACCGTTATAATCCTCTGGGCCCACCCTCTCGCATACCTCACTTCTCACTGACCAGAACAACATAATGTAGTGCATAACTATAGCTGACTGAGTCTTAAAGTTGCAAACTATGATCTTTACTTGCACAAAATTTGGAGCAATGGGAAGCCTGAATTCATCCAAAAAGACTACAGATAAGCCTGTTGGCTTTTGTCAGCCTCTTTCCCTTTGAGCTTCCCCTCATCTGCCTTTTCGTCTTGGTTTGCAGTGTGTGTGTGTGTGTGTGTGTGTGTGTGTGTGTGTGTGTGTGTGTGTGTGTCTAACATTTATATATGTTAAGTGTAGAATCTTTTTGCTTCAGATAGAGTTCATAAATACAGGTGGGGGGTTGTTTGTTTTGGTTTGGTTTTTTTGTCACTCTGGTTTCATACTCCCCTAAACTAGTTCTAAAACTCCAATAAAACAACTAACCAAAACTACCCCAGCCACAGCTCAGCGGGGTGTTTTCAGCATTCTTCCATTTGTGCTTGTTTATAACAGGAAGGAACCGTAAGAATCTCTTCTGGATACACCAGG